ATCTGCAGCATCATTTTTTTAAAGTTTATTTATTTATTTAAGTCATCTCTTCACCCCATGTGGGGCTCGAACTCACAACCCCGAAATGAAGAGTCGCACACTCCACCGACTGAGCCAGCCAGGCGCCCCTATAGCATCGTTTTTATTTTATTTTATTTTTATTTTTAAAAGATTTTATTTATTTATTTGACAGACGGCGAGAGAGCACAAGCAGGAGGAGCAGTAGAAGGAGAGGGAGAAGCAGGCTCTGCACCGAGCAGGGAGCCCGATGCGGGACTCGATCCAGGGACTCCAGGATCATGACCTGAGCCGAAGGCAGCTGCTTAACCTACTGAGCCACCCAGGCGCCCCTATAGCATCGTTTTTAAAGGCTGTACATTATATCGTATTGGACGGATGAAACGTCATCTGTTTAACAAATGCCCTGCGGCTGGAGATTTATGCTGTTCCTGATTTTTCACGATTATGAACAATGCAGTGTTGAACGCTTATAAACTGAAATCTTTGTGCATTTGTCAAATTATTTTCCTCGGATACATTCCTAGAGGTGAGGTTGCCAGGCCAAGGGGTATGCCTATTTGGAGGAGTGGCCACTTCATTGAAAAGAAAAACTGTCAATTCTGTCATGAGGATTTGCTACACAGAGGTCCTCCGATATGATAGCCGGGGTGGGGGGGGGGAGCATTTATATCAGATAAGTAGGCGATTACCAGCCCTGATGCAGCAGGGCAGGATAACAGCCCCAGGGAGGTCCCCGTCCTAATCCCCGGACCCTGTGACTATCTCCAGCGACACAGCAAAGGGGAACTAAGGGTGCAGAGGGAATTAAGGTTGCCAATCAGCTTCACTTAAAACGGGGATTATCCTGATTATCTGGTGCCCAAGGTAATCATAAGGATCCTTGACAATGGAAGAGGAAGCTGGCACTAAAGTTGGGGGGGCGAGCATCTGGGGGGCTTCAACCTGTGAAAGGTATAAGGGGGGAGGGAGCAGAGGTGAACAGAGAGAGACTCGAACCAGGCACTCAATGAACTGCACTTCCTGCAGACGAATGGCAAATCTGGGGCTCCCACATTTCTCCCTTCTGCTCCTCCGTCGCCCCGATCCTGTCCTCTTCTTTGAGCCCCAGTAATGGGCAACTGTTGCTTGGCCTTGTAAATACATTTGTTTCAAAATGTAGCCCGTCAGAGCTGGAAATGACTTTAGGGATCATCTCATTTTCCACATAGAGAAACGGAGCCCTGGCAGGGTGGGGGCCTCAATCAAGAGGACAACTAGCGAGATGCGCAGTCAGGACGGGAACACGGGGGGGGGGGGGGTCCTCACTCCGGGTTTGCAGGAGCATTAGGAAAAGGTTGCTCAGGGGCGTCTGAGTGGCTCAGCCCCTTAAGGGTCCGACTCTTGGTTTCCACTCAGGTCATGATCTCAGGGTTATGAGATGGAGACCCTTGTGGGGCTCCCTGCTCCCCTCTCCCTCTCCCTCAGCCCCTTCCCCCACTCGCACACACACTGTCTCTCTAAAATAAATTTTAAAATACTGAAAAAAAAAAGGAGGGGCGCCTGGGTGGCTCAGTCGGTTAAGGGACTGCCTTCGGCTCAGGTCGTGATCCTGGAGTCCCGGGATCGAGTCCCGCGTCAGGCTCCCTGCTCGGCGGGGAGTCTGCTTCTCCCCCTCCCACTCCCCGTTTGTGTTCCCTCTCTCACTGTGTCTTTCTCTGTCAAATAAATAAATAAATAAATAAAATCTTTAAAAAAATAAAAATAAAAATAAAATAAAATAAAATACTGAAAAAAAAAAGGAGGGGCGCCTGGGTGGCTCAGTCGGTTTAAGTGTCTGACTTCAGCTCAGGTCATGTTCTCAGGGTCCTGGGCTCGAGCCCCACATCGGGCTCCCTGCTCCGCGGGAAGCCTGCTTCTCCCTCTCCCTCTCTCAAATAAATAAATAAAATCTTTAAAAAAAAAAAAAAAAGGCTGCTCATTTGGAGAGATTAGTGGAGGGTCACCATTTTCACCAAAAAAGTAACCATCACTGCTATAAATAGACTCAACTTGCGTCAAAGCATAATCATTAAAAGAAAAAAAAAAAAAACAGACTGCTCTTTGAGAAGATCTTTGAGACTTAATCTTTTTTTTTTTTAAGATTTTATTTATTTGTTGACAGAGAAAGAGACAGCAAGAGAGGGAACACAAGCAGGGGGAGTGGGAGAGGGAGAAGCAGGCTTCCCGTGGAGCAGGGAGCCCGATGCGGGGCTCGATCCCAGGACCCTGGGATCATTACCTGAGCCGAAGGCAGACCCTTCACCGACTGAGCCACCCAGGTGCCCCTGAGACTTAATCTTAATTAAATTTATTTAAAAATAGCGACAAACCTGTAAGCCTTATAAAAATGCAAGAACCTACTTCATCCCCACTAATCTGTAAAAATTCACAGCGACATAAGGTTTTAAAATCTTACACAAGTAAAGGCATGGAGATGGGCTATTGCATTATTAACTGCACATGTGGAAGATACAAATGGTTTACTAAATTATTTTCAATTCATTATATCAAGCTAGGGAAACCATTATGGAAAGGGCAGGAATCGTGTTTATGGGAGAGAACGGTTATATTCTAGTTAGCATTGATTTGTGGAGGGATGACTTTATTTCCAGTAATACCTGTGATGCTGACTTGTAGAATGGAAAAGTGCTCCAACACCAGTCTCAATTGGATCTGCAAACAACATTCTTACTTAGAATGCTTTTTTTTTAAAGATTTTATTGTTTTTTGGGGGCCGCTTGGGTGGCTCAGTCGTTGAGCGTCTGCCTTCGGCTCAGGTCATGATCCCAGGGTCCTGGGATCGAGCCCCACATCGGGCTCCCTGCTCCGCGGGGAGCCTGCTTCTCCCTCTGACCCTCCCCCTGCTTGTTCTCTCTCTGTCAAATAAATAAATAAAATCTTTAAAAAAAAAAAGATTTTATTGTTTTTTTAAGTAATCTCTACACCCAACATGGGGCTCCAGCTCATGACCCTAGATCAAGAATCACAGGCTCTTCCAGCTGGGCCAGCCAGGCACCCCTCTTACTTGGAATTCTTAAGATGGTTTTTGCTACTAGAAAAAGGAAGTTGTCACCTTTTTCTTGCTTTTTCGGTACAGGCATCATTCAAGTGCGGGAGTTTCCCATTTGAAGCAATTTCCATTCTTCCCAACTGTCAAGTTCAGGAATGGGCATGTATTTGGGGTGGGGGAGGGGCGGCAGCTGGTGAGTCCGTCAAGCAGGTCACTTGCCCATTTCCCAAAATTGTAGATAGAGATGTGAATGAGGTTTGTGGACTCTAGCCCTATTGGGCTCCGACTTCCCAGGTTCAAACCTTGATCCATCTGCTAATTCTATACCCCTCACCTCCGAACTAGCATCTCACAAGATTATCAACTAGGAGTGTAGATGAAACCACAGACAACACACAGGGCCAGCTACCCCACCTTTGTGTGTGAATTTGTAATTCTGAGAGTAAAATGCCAAAAGTGAGTCAAAGAAATGCTTTTCGAGTTAGCTTTTTTGGAAGTGAGGTGGGAAAGGAAAGGATGTGTACAGAAAGGCACAAGTCTAAGTCTAGGATTGAGTAGAAGTTGATCTGGGTGGGGATTTACTGGTGTATGTCAGAGGGGCAGGGGTCTCTCAGAGGCAGGAGGCCTTGTCTTCCCTCTTTGTTACAGTGGGAAAACAGATTACGGCTTTCAGCTTTATTCAAGGGCGACCTTCAGAATCTGCAAATAAATGTTACCAGATTTTACCAGGCTGCAGAAGATGCCAGCCTTCTTGGAATCATTTCTTTTTCCCTAAATAGCATATTAAGAGTTCAATCCTGATGGTACATATCATCTTTGAGCACAGATGAATCTTTCTAGCGTGAGCCAAGAGAAACACACACTTGTATAATTAAGCATCACAAGTGCTAGAATCAGCCCCCACCCTGAATTTCCCCAACCATCATCTAAAAAAGAACATGGCTTTAGAAGGTAAATAACTCCGAGGGACACGGTTATTAGCCAAGTATCTTTTCTCTCATTTAATCTAGGAAATCTACGTAACACACTGGAAAAACTGTCGTCTTGAGGCCATTAAACTACAGACTATATTAAACTGCCAAGGTCGGGATGCCTGGGTGGCTCAGTCAGTTAAGCGTCTGCCTTCAGCTCAGGTCATGATCCCAGGGCCCCGCATCATCCAGCACATCATCCAGCACCAGATTCCTTCCTCAGCAGGGATCCTGCTTCTCCCTCTGCCTGCCACTCCCCGCTTGTGCTCTCTGACAAATAAAACCTTTAAAATAAATAGGGGCGCCTGGGTGGCTCAGTTGTTGAGTGTCTGCCTTCGGCTTGGGTCATGATCCCAGCGTCCTGGGATCGAGCCCAGCATTGGGCTCCCTGCTCTGTGGGATGCATGCTTCTCCCTCTCCCACTCCCCCTGCTGTGTTCCCTCTCTCGCTGTCTCTCTCTCTCATAAAATCTTTAAAAAATAATAATAAATAAATAAACTGCCACGGTCATGGATTCACTCATGCAAGAGCTGTGGTCTTTATTTACACAGCAGATGGGAGGACAAAGATCGAAGAGCCAGGCCAATGTTAACCCTTGGTAAGTAGTATGGTGGGGAGGCCTTGGGCAGGTCATTTACCAAGCCTCAGTACCCACATGTATTACATGGAGGTAATGCCAGGCCCAGGGTTGCTGGGAAGTTGGCATGAGATCATGATGTGGAAGAATTTGGAACAGAGAAGAGCATAACCCAAAAAAGTCATTTTATTGTCCACCCTCCAAGCTATTACACAGGAGCAAGTGGGGGGAGGAGCGCTGCGTGTATGGTGAACATCGACAGCAGGGGTTTCTGGGGTTGTCACGGGCTAAGCACCAAGCTCACACTGGCCACAAGGCTGTCTACTAGATTAGAGACCTGAAGGAGTTTGAAGAAATTATCATTTTATCTGGAACAATCTGTAGGGAGGTCCTGCTGCCATGTCTAAGATTCAGTGGCCATCCACATGGGTCGCCCCAAGGGCTCTGTGCTGAAAAGAGCTAATGGTTCCCAGATGTCACTAACAGTGAAAGAGCTAAAGGGGAAAGCTTCATTGTTTGTGGAAGCCAGGTGGGCCCCTGTGGAAGGCTGGAAGATGTCACCAAGGTCCAGCTGAACACCTACGGGGGGGAGGAGTGGGGGGGGGTCAGATGCCAGAGTCCTCATCCTCAAAGTGAGGGCAGGAAGAAACTCATGGAGCCGCAACTGAGAAATGCTCTTGGCACAGAACTTAGTCTAGGCCCAGCCTGGGATGCGGCTGTCTGCTCACTAATTTCCAGTAAGTTAGTTCTCACATTCCTCAGCAACTCCATTTGGAATCACTTTTTTTTTTAGAACTGAGGAATCAAAAATTCCAAGCGAAAGGACTTCATTCATGAGAGCCTTCCCGAACCTTCTCAGCTTCCTTCCAGACTCTGAGGATGCAGGGAATGCCCAGCCTCAACTTCCTCCATGGGTCTTGCCCACCCCGTTTTCATTTTGCCTTTGGTAGAGGCAAGAGGGCGGCTGGCCAGAGTCTGGGTTAAGGCTAGACAGCTTCAGGCCATTCCTGGTATCTCCTCCTTTCAGTTGGCAAAAAGGGACAACCCCATAGGACACCATATGGTCAGTCTTGGTTTGAAAGACCCTGCTGGTAGAGGGTAAGGGGACTGATTTCTAAGTAGGAGGGCAGCGGGTGCAGGGAAGGTGGGAGAAGCAGGTGGGTGGGTGGGGCCTCTATGGTTCCCATCCCTGAACTGCTCTTTTAACCATTTCATGTGCCGGTGAGTCACTCAAGTTGGAAAACTCCTGCCACATTGTCGGATTTTACGGGGAACAGCAACGTGCTCCTGGCGCAATGCTCTTTAGTGACGGAAAGAGAAAAAGGACGGTGCAGGCTCTAGACCCTCTAGATTCACAGTAGAAAATCACGAGCAGGTTTGGAAAAAGGAATTCTCTTCTTCGGACTGAGGTTCAATAAAAGAACACATTTCTTCGCTCTGGAGACTGGCTTTCTGAAAAACAGGATAAGCATGATGAGGAAGAAGCGGTTTGAATCCTGACTCCACCGCTGCCTCGTTGTGTGACCTCAGGTGAGTTACCTACCCTATCTGAGCCCCACATTCTCATCTGTTCAACGAGGCCACTAATGCAACCTACCTCCCAAGATTCTGGAAAGGAGCAAGTGAATTAAACACACGGACAGCGCTTCAAAGAGTGCCTGGCACATATATGCTCAATAGATGTTAGCTACTATTTTGCTAAAGAGGCATGTCTTTGGGGCGTCCGGGTGGCTCAGTCGGTTAAGCATCCGACGCTTGGTTTCGGCTCAGGTCATGATCTCAGGGTTGTGAGAGCGAGCCCAGTGCTCACAGAGAGTCTGCTTGAGATTCTCTCTCTCCCTCTCCCACTCTCCCTTCCCCAACACGTACACACACACACACACACACACACTTTCTTTCTTTCAAATAAATAAAATCTTTATATATATTTAAAAAAGAGGCACTGTCTTTATACGTAGTAGAGTAGAATTGGCATTGTAGGGAAGATCAAGGACTTGGAAGTCAGAGAAAGCGGACTCTGGCACTCACTCACCTTGACTTTGGGCAAATTACTTAACCTCCCTAAACCTCAATTTTCCCATCCTGTGAATGAGGATAAAAATAGCACCTGCCTTGTAGGTAGCTACTGGTTCTTATTTTGCTTCACTTCCGTGAATCTTATCGTTCTCCTCATCTCTAATGACCTTTTACTTCCTTCTACCTCAGCCAGCCATTCCTATGGCCAGACGGCTAGACTCTGTCATCGCCCACACAAGGTGGCACCCTTGCCATTTCAATTTCAAACATCTACTCTCCACCCACTACCTCCCATGTCATTGGCCGAAGTAGTCTTAGCACTACATGTTTCCATAACCTAATCCTCCAGTCCATCAACCGCCACTACCCCTCTTCCCTTATTGGCCTCCTTTCCCTTCTTTGTGCAGCTCAGAGACCAGGCTCCCTTGTTACAGTGACTCGCTTGCAAATACCCTCAGGGTCGTGGGATGGAGCCCCCGTGGGGCTCCGCGCTCAGCGCGGAGTCTGCTTGTCCCTCTCCCTCTGCTCCTTCCCTTGCTCTCTCTTTCTCTCTCTCAAATAAATAAATAAGATCTTTAAAAATGGGGGCGCCTGGGTGGCTCAGTCGTCAAGCGTCTGCCTTCGGCTCAGGTCATGATCCCAGGGTCCTGGGATTGAGCCCCGCATCGGGCTCCCTGCTCCGCGGGAAGCCTGCTTCTCCCTCTCCCACTCCCCCTGCTGGTGTTCCCTCTCTCGCTGTCTCTGTCAAATAAATAAAATCTTTAAAAAATATCTTTAAAAATGGCTCTACTATTTACCTTCTATCTGTATGGTAATGGGAATGATCCAACAAAGATGAGGAGATCAAATGATGATGGGGGAGGATGAGGATAACCTCGTGGGGGAGGTCACTGAGACCAGTGAAGGGCCATGTGGAGGCACTGATATTTGCTAGGAGGAGGGAACATGGTAACATTGAAAGGGTACAAAAGGAGAATGAGGACACAGGTGCAAGTTGATTTGCAGGTTTGTTTGTGAGGAGTCAGAAGAGTACTAATCAGATGACCTCTGTTTTCTCCATCAACTCTGGGGCAAGAGCATCAGCTGAGAGTGCAAATCCAGGGGTTGAAAAGTGGGCGAGTATGGGAGTCATGAGCTTCCTGAGTGCCCAGCTGAAGTTTGAGGTCAGGAGTCGCAAGTAGAAACAGCTGGGTGGGGTGATTTTCCTGAGTGCTCTTTGGCGGGAGAGCGTGATGGATGGGGGGAGAGGAAAAGTTGCTGAGGGAGCTTTAGGGAGGTTAAGTAATTTGCCTCGGCCATCAGGAGGGGACTGGGCCCATATTGGAGGGACAGGAGGAGACTTGACCTTCCTTCCTTTGACCAATCTTTATCTGGGGCCTCACACAGGAAACCTTTCAGAACTACTGAAATTCCTACTGAAACGTTCATCGATTTCACTTTGAAACCAGGTTCATATAAAATATACAAAGAGTCAAACGTTTAGAGGCAATGGAGTTCCGCGCCAAATCTACTGGAAGTGAGGACGCGGAATCTGTGCATTTCCCAAGCTCCCCCATGGTCCTCACCATCAGCCGAGACTGGGAGCCTGGCGGTGTGCTGAGGAGCAGGGGCTTTGCTGGGGTGCCCGGAAGCGGCCCCCTTCCCAGTGCCCGTGCCCTGCTGCCTCCCTCGGTCCAGAGCCACATGGCAGGACAGCTGACTTGGGACGGTTGGCATAGCCGGGAACCCACTCCCCGTCTCCCCCTCAACTAGTCTCCGCTCGGGAAGTCCATCCCCTTGCCCTTTGCCCAAGGTAATATGGTTCCTGTGCCTGCTGTCCCAGCATCCCCTCCCCTTATTCTAGGACGGTGTCCTGGCCACAGGTAGACAGCGAACCCATACGCAGTGAAACGATCCTACCAGTTGCCAACTCTCACTGCGGTACACTTGATTTAACTTGGAATTGTTTCTCAGGATTGATGTGTATTGTCGTTTATGATTGAGGACGGCTTTGAGACTGAGAGCAAAGAGAGGAACACCCCTTGCCACCTGATGCTGGGTGATCTTAAGGCAAGTCTGGTCACCTGTTCGAGACTCCGTCTCCTCACCTACAAAATGAGAATATTTATGCATCCCTTCAATCCCTATTCCCTGAAGACCTGTTGTGTAAGGCACATACACAATTCACAAGGTGGTCACTGTGGGCACCGAGCAGGACGGCATGCGTGGGATCCGGCTCATAGTCCCCACCCGTACGTGTTGCTGTTATTTTTTTCGCCTTTTAAAGGAACCATTTAAAGCATCAGGTTTTCAGTAATTCTAAGGCTTAACATTAAAAAATGTACAAACCGCTAACAAGTACTTAGAGGAGACTTTATAATCCTGACTTTCATTAATTAGTAGGCTAGCAGAACTCATCCTCTTGGGTAGAGATTGATGTGAAGCCTGACTCAGCCACGCTAAAGCTCTTGAACCAGCCCTAAATCCATCTCCTCATTTGGGCATGGCCAATTAATCACCAAGGGTGCTTCTGGCTTGTCCGTTAGTCTGTCTTACACAAGGGCTTCGAACAAAAGAATTTGTACTGTGTCGGCGATGTATTTTTACTATTTCCTTCTTCACCATTCTATTGTTTCCAGCATTCCCTCATCCATCCATTCAACAAATATGTATTCCCCCTCTGTGCCGGGCTCTGTTGCAGATGCTGGGATGTGGGTATACACCCCTCAAAGTCTTGGCCCTCAAGGAGCTAACATTCTAGATCCTAAGCATTTACATATATTATCTCATTTTAATCCTCATAGAAACTCTATTGGGGGGGCCACCCTATCTTAATCCTCATTTCACAAATGAGCCACCTGAGGAGTGGAGAGGTTAAGAAATGTGCCCAAGTTTCTGAAGCTAGTAAGTCATGAGCCCGGATTAGAAGCCAGGCCATAAAGATCCTCATGCCTTTCCCCCCAGACCCATATCATTCCCATTTGGCAGTTCCTACTGACACCACTTTTGAATTGAGCGTGGAGCCCAGAGTCCCGGCCCTTAGCCTCAGGTGGCATTTTCCTGGGCCTCGGAGTCCTGGGGTAGCCCTATGTTCTAGGCTGAAAACTAAACATCTGGGACAAGCCAACTAATCCTCATGAATTTGCTCATTTTGCTGAGTCATCTGGGTTAAATCTAGCTCGGGTAAGAGAACGCAATAGAGCTGCTCGGATAGCAAAATAAGAAAATGGTAAAAAAAAAAAAAAAAAAAAAAGTCAAGACATTTTACAAGGCACAAAGTACATGGGCTCCTTGAGACTAAGATGAAACAAATTCCAGCTATGAAAATACTAAGTAACAGAAATCAGGGTCTTATCAGTTGAAGAGCCTGGTTTTCACACTATGAGCTTCTCCCCAAGTTTTATTCCCAAGCTGTAGGGACCAAGTACCTAAGGCAGAACCTGATACCTACTTTCACTTGCAAGGTTGGCACTGGCGGGTCCACCATCTGGGGGGAAATATATTTTCTTATCTAGAAAGGAAGAACACATGATTAGAAATCTCCAGGGACTCCAAATGGTCTGCCCCTCAGTTTATTTTTAAAGATTATTTATTTGTCAGAGAGAGCGAGCATGAGCAGGGGGAGGGTCAGAAGCGGAGGGAGAAGCAGACTCCCTGCTGAGTGTAGAGCCCGACTCGGGGGCTGGATCCCTGGACCCTGGGATCATGACCTGAGCTGAAGGCAGACGCTTCACCCACTGAGCCACCACCCAGGCAGCCCCTGCCCCTCAATTTATAAACCCTGAGCATATTTTCTCTTATCAGATGTTACCAAAACAGAGAAGTTTCTGTTTTTAAGGTACCCTGGGGTCTTGTTCCCATCTTACAGGCAATGGTACTGACTTCCCCAACAGATCCTAGACCACCAGGCCAATGAGTACAACTGACGTCCATGTTAGTAGGAGAGCGTGAAGTTTTCAGTAGTCAGACTTGGTGATAGACATGTGATAATGTGTCTAGAGGCTTCAGAAATAGGATCATGCCTGCATCATAATTTTGCCATGATGTGCCTGGCGTATAGTAGATGTTCACTAAATATTTGCTGAATTGGGGTTGAACTGTATGGTTGTTATATGCGGGAGGTGAGGATTTGAGCCATCTGTGTTCTACCCAGCTGCTGAGTGTATGCACAGGCCTATATGCAAACACAGGTGGCCTAATTTTTCCTCTGAATCCAGCAGGAACAAATTTTTGAAAAATTTTGAAAAAGGGTACAGGGGTGGGAATTTCCCAGGGGTTTCCCAAGCATGACATTTTTATGATTTACTCTTGAAGTACATTCCTAATCAAACTCTGGAAATGACAGAAGTGGTATTTTAATGGGAAATTTGTTTTTGACATTAGGCTGGAACACAGTGCCTGACTGAGGTAGGGTATGCTGAACAGGCCCTTTGTGTACTGTATAGTTCGTTCCGAGTAAAGGCAACGTCTAGCAATTTCTCTCAGGCATAGAACTACAGACGTGTATGGACTAGGGGGTTGTAAAAGAAAATTTGTCCAGAGTACAGAATGCCAGAGGATGTGGATTTGGCCCCATGAAACCATAAAACATATATATTATTACCCATGTTTCATATGAAAGGCAAATCTTGTAGCAGATTGGGTTGTTCTGTTGGTGAAAGTATACGTCAGGCCAATTGTCCCCCAGCCTTTTACAAAGAAGGGAGTCTTGTTTTTTGGTAGGCATTTGGCATCTAGCTGGCACTGATTAAATATTTGTTGGGCAAATGAGTGAATGAAGAAGTGAATGAGCCTTAAAGGGGTTTTAGTTCGGGGGTGGTGGTGGCCTGGGCGCAGTCACCCGAGGGAGACCGAGCCATGGCGGTCTCCAGGCAGCCATGGGACTGCTTCTACAGCGACTTTGAATTTTAATGTTTGGAGCAGATGGTTGGTATAGATCGCCCTTGTTTCTGCCCAGGAACCTGGCGTCACTGCAAGTTGCCAACCTGTTCAGAGGATAGAGTTTGAGCTTGTAGGTATGTCGGAGAGTTCTCTGTTTTACAAGTGGATTATTTGGTGGCTGACGGCGAGGTGAATGCAGGACCCCGCGATTTTCGGCAGCAGCCTAAATCCTTTTTCTAGAGTAAGTCCAAGTCAACAGACTGGGGTGACCATTTGGGGCCAAGTCCATCTGGCTGGCTATCTATGTAACCCTGAATGTTGATGAAGCTTAGTGAAGATCTATGGAACATTGAAGCAGAACATTCCATCCCTCAGAAGCCCCATGTCTGAAGAGGGAGCAATTAGCCTTAGCACCCCATCTCATTGCCAACTCCCTCTCAACTACAACCAGTCAGAGGCAGTCCTCCAAGTATCTGGAGGCATTTCCTTACCGTGGGCTGAGCTGGGAGGCAGGTCGCAGAGCAATCCCACGCTTCTGGCTACCTGGGCAGAGCTGCAATCCTCCCACACTGCGGATTCCTGAGGATGGGCTAGGTGTCGGTCTTGCTGGAGGAGACTTAGGAAGGGCTCATATTTCCCGTCAGGCTGGGGCTCTGGAACCATGTGCGCACTGGAGTAGGCCTGAGAGTAGCCAGGCTCTGAGGAGCTGGGGCTGCCTAGGGAGGGGTAATGCCACAGCTCATCAGACTGAATGGAGGGGCTGCCCGCCAGGGACACTGGGTACTGATCCGGAGTCATGAGACTGGGCCCATTCAAGCTGCAGTTGGTGGCACCATATGCAAAAGATGCTTCTGGCTCTGGCTTTGTCCACGGAGAAGAGAAACGCCACTGATTTGGAGGCATGTCACTATCTGGGAAGGAAAGATTTACAAGACATGTTAGGTAGGTATTTATTGTTTTCAAAATGGAAATAGCTGAATTTTTTTCTGGTTACTACAGACTATTTTTTAACATGAAGAAAGTGTAGAAAAAGTAGAACAAAAACAAAAACAAAAACAAAAAACCAAAAAACAAACCCCACTCTGACTACAATATCCAGAGACCACCAATGTCTGCTTTTAGGTATACTTCTTTCTAGGATTTGTTTCTATTCAGGTCCACATCACATAGGATTTTTAAGGCGGCTTTTGCATCATTAAAATATCACAGATATCCTCCCATGGCAACGAATACGAGCACAGTATTCAGTCATATTAACAACACCGTGATGAACATCTTTGCATATACATCTTTGCACCCGTGTCCAACGAGCCCCTCAAGGAAACTTTTCTAGAAGTAAAATTGCTTGATTAAAGGTGATTTGTGTTTGGTCATTGCTGGTTGGCTTGATTTTATAGCTCGTGGTTTAAATACACCAAATGGAAGGACGCCACATAACTTTATAAAGGGTTTAACGCTCGCCTGTGTATAAGTCACTCATACAAGTCTAGGGGTTGAAACTCCATTTTCTAGAGGGATCAGGGGCATGGGGATGCTAAGACTGGACCAAGTTAGCAAAGCAGGTTAGTCAAGTAGGGATCTGAGCTGGAGCAGTGAGTCATTGCTTGGACCTCTCCCTGCAAAAGCAAAATGCTCAAGGTCAAGGGATGACTCAGTTACTTCTCGCAAAGTTCGTGTGGACTAGCAAGGGGAGATGGAGTCTCCTTTGGTCTCATAGATACTCTTCTAATTGTGCCGAGGGTAGCAGCTGAATCGGAGTGTTCAAAAAGTCTAGGGCAGCTCACGACATGGATGGATGTTTTCCCCATTCGAAACACCCACTCAGGCAAGAGAAGAGGAGGGAGAGTGCTCTGGCAGATGGTGCTTAAAACCTAGAGCCTCTCATCTATCCAAGATAATGAAGGGGGGTGTGGGCGTGAAGACAAAGGAAGATTGGAGGGCTGGAGAGACTGTCTGGTCCCCTCCCCCTGCTCCCCTGCCCCACGTGTGTCTCTCCCAGCTCTCCTGAATGTTCCACTTGCCTGCATGTTGTACAAGATAAAAGCATCTTGAGTGGTCTGCACAGTGACATGGGAGCGCCGCCCCCCGCCTGCCCTCCCATCATAGCTTTTCAGGTAATACAGATGAGAAGAGCAAAAGAAGTTGTAACCTCGTGGCACAGACATTCTACCCAACATTTCACATTGCTCACAATGAGTGGGGGGCGGCGGTTGGCCTCTTTTAATGAAACCAAGGGCAAGAAAACGTTAAAATTTGTTCTGGGGGATGAATGCTACTTTTGAAAATTGATATCTGCAGACCGGTAGAGATTCAGGGCACAAAGAGAGTGATTAAGCTGACTTAGTATAATCACTAGGCATGCTTCATGTTCAATAAGGGTACTGCATGTTCTGAGCACAAGTTAGAAAAATTGTGTAGCCCGACAAGGGGGCAGTTTCCATCTGAACTGGCCTTACAGATCTCATGCATATGACCTAGAGGCTGAATGCTTGAAATGGGCAAGGCAGGGCCCCAGTGGCTTTTGAATATTTCTTTTAACTGCTTCTCTTCCAGAATTTTCTTTTCTTTTCTTTTTTTAGGACTTCCAGAATTTTCTGATCGAAATGTTTCGGGGAGTGGGTGGTGTGCCACTGTCCAAGGTCCATCTGGTCACTGAGTGCACCAGAGCACAGTTTGGATGGCAGCGGGGGGTGGGGTGGGGGGCAGTGTCCCAAATCCCAAAATCACAGCAACCCCATAGTAGACCCTGGGTGACCTGGGAAAAGCCATCTTTCCAGAGCAGACTTGGATGTTGGCGACCCATGGGGTGGAGACCCTGAATTTGGTGGGGGGGGGGCCTCTTTCCAGCAACCACGCTCACCTACCCTGTGAACCCTGAAGGCATTTCTAAGTCACAGTCCTGACTGGCTCAAGTGGCTGTTGCCACCGCTAGAAGTGACCCTGGTGACCCTTTCTTACCCAAGTTCCCCCACTCTTAGTTACCTCTAGAGATGAGAGGGAGGGAGCCCCGGGAAAGACTGCTGCTTTATCAAACTCCAGACTTACATGAATGAGTGAGACCAGTCCAGGAACATTTTGGTCCTAGGACACTTGGGGCCGCCTGGATTTTCCTTTTAGTAGGAATACAAAAGCCTTCCATCCCATATGCTCCCAACTCTGAGCATCTAGACCCTGCCCCGCAGTCCCATCCTAACCTCAGAGAGCTCTGGGGCAGTGGGGGAGGGGGGCGGGGGGCGGTCCTGGGCTGAGCACAAGGGTCCACAGCAGCAACAACACTTGAGGGCTGATGTGGAGGGTGGATGGTGTAGACAGTAGTTGTAGAAGAGAATTTTCAGAAGCCATTGCTCAGTGCGTGTCCATTTCCAGGAAATGATACACCAGAGGCGGGTAGGAGCAGTTGCAAATCCACAGCAGTTTTGTTTCCTGAGCACTTATTATGGGCCAGGCGCTTTGCTTAGCCCTCTGCCCACATGAGCTCACGTGATCCCCACAGCGACCCAGACGACAAAATAAAGACTTGGAGTGGCTATGGAAACTTGCCTAAGGCCATGCAGTTGGCAAACGCTCTGGCTGGCTGATTCCAAAACTCGTGAGCCCTTAGCAGCTCTGTCTCTCGGCGTGACACTCTTGGGGTTGGATGGTGGCAGGTGGGCATAAAATCTCTCGGGGCAATTTGAATGCATCCTTTGATCCAGTCATTCCCCTTATAACAATTTAGGGATATAATCAACGATGTGTGCAAAAATGTAGCTACGAGGATAGTCAAAAGGATATTTACAATATAGTGAAAAATCGGCAACAAGCCGATGTCCAAAAATTGTAATAGATTCGGTACATCTATAAAAAGGATACTCTGGAGCCATTAAAATGATGTTGTGGGGGCGCCTGGGGGGCGCTCAGTTAAGCGGCTGCCTTCGCCTCAAGCCATGATCCTGAGAGATCATTTATGTGCAAAATGATGTTAGTTCGTTGTAAAACTTAGCATGCGTGCATAGAATGCTTATCTTTGCTTTCTAATTTTCCAAAAATAACGGTACTTTTGTGATTAGGAAAAGTTATTTTTTTTAAGATTTTTTTATTTATTGGGGCCCCTGGGTGGCTCAGTCGTTGAGCGTCTCCCTTCAGCTCAGGTCATGGTCTCAGGGTCCTGAGATCGAGCCCCGCATCGGGCTCCCTGCTCCGCGGGAAGCCTGCTTCTCCCTCTCCCACTCCCCCTGCTTGTGTTCACGCTCTCACTGGGTCTCTCTCTGTCAAATAAATAAAATCTAAAAAAAAAAAAAAAGATTTTTTATTTATTTGAGAGAGAGAGCGAGAGAGCGCAAGCAGGGGGAACAGCAGAGGGAGAGGGAGAAGCAGGCTCCCTGCCAAGCAGGGAGCCCAATGCGGGGCTTGATCCCAGGACCCTGGGATCATGCCCTGAGCGGAGGGCAGACGCTTAACAACTGAGCCACCCAGGCGCCCCGAAAAAGTTATTTTTTTTTTTAAGTAAAAACTGAGGAAACCATTCGACTCACTGAATTGGAGTCACAGTTGTAAAAGACCAATCCATAATGGCCTGCTTTCCTTCCACCCACCCTTCCTTCTCGTCCCCCTCCCCTTTCTCTGTCTCTGCCTTGAATACAAATCCTGCTTTATGCTGAAGTTAAAACCAAGCACCCTCTGAACATCTTGCACCGTGACAGTCCAACCTTCGGCCTGTCCGATCTGTACGCACTGACTTTTCCTTCTCTGCCTTCTTGGCTAGTGGTGCTGGCCTCTTATTCATTCACCCCAGAAACAAAGAGGATATTGTTTGTATTAGCCGAGGTTGAAACAACACCGGGGACAGGACAGCTTACAGGACACGGTCCTGTTCCAGGGCGCTAGGGCGGCCTGCTCGGCCCCACTCCCTCCTTTACCGTCGCCTCCCCGGGGTACCCAGTCTTTTGCTGATTATCCAGAGCCTTTATCCGGATGAAAATGAAGATGAAACACAGAATGTGTGCAGTATTTGCCAGTGGCTGAGAGCTCAAGGATCGGAGTCAAACTGGCCTGGGCTCGAATAGCCACCCCTTACTGGTGGTGGGATCTTGGACAAATCACTTGGCTCTCTGAGCCTCAGTTTCCTTCCCAGGATAATGGGCACAGTGCGAGTTAACCAATAGCTGGTGTGAGGATTCAATGAGCTCATCCCTGTGGGAGCCCCCAGCAAAGGGCCCCGCACACAGGACGTGCTCCATCATTGTTAGCGATCGTCAACAGTATTAGCGATAGTCCTTCTGGGCATTAGCCCTCTCGCCGGGGTTGTTGTCAGGGTCTGCAAAGGCAGGACAGTGGGCTAGTAAAGAGTCCGATGGACCTGGGTTTCAATCTCTAGCCCTCACTCACAGGCTGTGTGACCCATCTCAACACTTCACCCTATCTGGGCTGTGTTGCCTCCTCCGTGAAGTGAGGACATTAATACCCCTTGTAAAGTGGCTTTGGGAAATACAACAGGCATGCAGGAAGATGCGCCCACGTGCCGCTGGGGGAATATTCACAAACTAGGTGACGAGCACCCAGTCAAGGAACAGAACATTGCCGCCACCCCGGGGAGCCCACCTCCCGGGAGGTAACTGCTCTCCTGTCTTCTGACACCATATGCAGGTTGCCTATCTTTGACCTTCAGAAATCACAGTGGCTTTTGAGGACTGAAGTGACTACAGTCACTGGCCCATGGTGTCTAGCGTCCAGTGGGGGCTCGCTCTGCGTTGATGCGGATTCCTCTCCCTCACCAGTTGTCGGTGTTCATAAGGGCCAGGAACAACTAGCATGACTCTCTCTCAAATAGATATTCACACTCAAAACAAACAAACCAGTGTTTCCTCCCCACCCCTACTGGATTATGGTTGAGAGGAGAGAGGAGGAGGTATGACCTTTTGAGTCTCGCTACAAAAGACCTCTGGGTGCTCAGTGGAGTGGGATGTGCATCCGGACCCTGTCCCCCCGCCCCCCAAGAAGTGGCAACTACCGAAGCTTCTCTGGTCACCTACTCTGAGATCCTCAGTGTCCTTTTAAAAGGGAGATAATTCAAAAAATGCCTTCAGCCTGTGTTTTCTTTTCTCAAGTCCAGCCAGTATAAAATATACATAAGTAAATAAAAAAATAATTTGGATTTGGGAAAAACAGCCAGGAAATTCGACGGCATTTCCTAGCCACACGGGCCTCTGTGTTTGGGCTTTGCATATTTGGCTTGACAGAGCTCCCTTAGAAAGTGGCCGAGTCGGTAACGGGAGCCCATGAATGGGAGCCTGTTCTGTTGGGCATGGTTCAGCCAGGGCTCAGCGGCCTGGGGCTGGCCGGCAGGGCCTGAGAGGCTGCTAATGGGCAGTAATGAAAGGCCACTTTATGGATTTCCCACCATTTCCGAAGCTGCGGGGCTCTCACATAACACCTCTTGTGAGAACCGCTGGGGGACTGGTCTTTCATGGGGCCTCCCGAGAGGCAGCACAGCTTATGAGAAACTTGACTCTTAACCGTGATAAGAGGCCTGGAGGAAGAAGACAGACCTCCTTTTGCTCAGTCAGCTGGACCAACATTTGCCCCACCTGCCCCGCACTCTGTGCGGAAGACATCTTCATAGTCAAGGGACCCGTGAGATTGATTCTCACAGGGTAAATGCAACCAAGAAGGTAAGCAGAAAAGATGGCTGTCTCTCTGTTTGGCCCCGGAAGGTTGGCTTGGGCAAGAAACAGAGCCACGTCCAAGTTCCCTTCATGCACAGGAGAATCACAGAATAGAATGAAGTCAGAGGCATAGGAAACCATACAGCTGTCACATGGCAGAAGCCCCTAGAAAACGTGCAGGTTTCCAGGAGGGGCCTGCTGCTCTGTGATCTTAGTGCTTTGAAAGCAAGCCCCCATATCCGCTCTCACCACTCAGAAAACACGTCAAGCTTTCATACCACCACACAAAACCTATCGAACACCTACATGGCACTATGTGTCGGTGGCCATGCACGACCTCATGGACCCCTCCTATAGTTGAGTGAGCCTCAGCTTTAGAGAGGAGGGAGCTGAGGCACGGACAGAGGAAGTGATGTGCCCTGAGATCACATTGTCAATAAATGGTGGAGCTGGTTCTAAAACCACACACCGCACTCTCTTCGGTGACTCCATCCATGGCAGACATCAGTACCCTGTGATGCGAATCACAGTTTCATTCATTCAAGCGATATTTACTGGGTACCTTCCATGTGTCAGGCTTTGGGCTAGGTACTTGGGAAGTAGCAATTTACACAGAGGCCCTGCTACCATGGAATTCAGTTTAGAGAATGGGGGGAGACAAGAAAGAAAACACATAAATATATAATATGCCCAGTGCTGACAAATGCTAAATAAAATAAAATAGTGTAAGAGGACAGAGGGTGACAGGGGGGTGTGTTTCTATTTCTTAAAGAGATTGTGCAGAGAGGGCCTGGCTGGAGAGGTGACATTCCGATGGAGACCTGAATGGAGAAAAGGGGGGAAGTTCTGCAGTTATCTGGGGAAAGAGCATTCAGGGAGGGGGTGGGGAGGTGCAAAGGGCCTGAGGCAGGATTGTACTTGGCATGTTCTACAAATAGTAGGAGGCTAGATTGGATGAAATGAGGTGGGGATGGTAGGATATGAAATCAGAATGAAAACAGGGCCCCACGCAAGACTTCTGTATTTGATTCCAAGTGAGACAGGAAGCTACTGGAGGGTTCTGAACAGAAGAGATATAGGACGAGACTTTCCTTTTAGTGATATCATTCTGACAGCTATCTTGAGAACAGACGGAAGGGGAGCAAAGGTGGAAGCAAGGAGACCAGTCAGGAAGCTACTGCAAAAATCCTGGGCTGAGATGACAGCTTCCTGGACCAACACGATAGCAGCAGAGTTAGGGGGACGTGGTCAGAACTTGGATATATTTTGAAGGTAAAACTGACACTGTTTCAAAGGACTGGGCATGGGGTAGGGGATGAAGAGAGGAGTTAAACATGACTCTCAGTTAACTGGAAGGATGCAGCTGCCATATATTGAGATGGGGAGATGGTGGACAGAGCGGGTCGAGGAGGCAATTAAGAGCTCAGTCTGAGGGCGCCTGGGTGGCTCAGATGGTTAAGCGTCTGCCTTCGGCTCAGGTCATGATCCCAGGGTCCTGGGATCGAGTCCCGCATCGGGCTTCCCGCTCCTTGGGAGCCTACTTCTCCCTCTGTTTCTCTCTGTCTCTCATGAATAAATAAATAAAATCTTTAACAACAACAAAAAAAAGAGCTCAGTCTGAGACCTCATTGTTTGTGATTCCTAGTACATTTGTGAAGGGATCAAGTAGGCACCTGGATAGACAGGACTGAGATGCAGTCTGGGCTGGAAGTAATGCATTTGAAAGTGATATAGATGGTACTTAAGACCAAGAGACAGAAGAGATCCCTTAGGGAGTGAGTGTAGATAGAGAAATTGTCTAAGACCTGAACACTGGGGCCTCCAAACATTTAGAAGCTGAAAAGAAGAGGACGTCCAGCAAAGGAGACTGAGGTGTAGTAACCCAGGAGGAAGGAGGAAAACCAGGAGAAGGTGATGTTATGGGATCCAAGTGAAAGAGGCCTTTCTAAGAGGGGGGAGCAACCACCTGCAGCCAATGTTGCTGACAGGTCAAAAAAAGATGGAGACAGGGAAAGACCATTGATTTGGCAAGTGGAGGTCACTGGCTAACCTTGATGAGAGTGGTTAAGGAGTGATAAGGATGAAAGCCTGAGTGGAGTGAGTTCCAAAGAACAGGAGAGGAAGAGGAAGGGTGCATGGGTGTAATTTTTGAGTCTTCCTATGAAATGGGGCAAGAGGCCAAGAGTTGGTTTTATTTCAGGTTGGGTTTTATCAGGCAAGCGGGACAGAGGTTGTGAGGGACTATAGGTAGATGGCACTTACAAGGGAGTGATGATAATGAATCCAAGCCAGTGTGTTCAGAACTCAGTCAAAGCCAAACAGCCAGAGTCCATGCATGTGAAGTCCACGCATGAAGAGCTTGGGGTTTTGACTCTTCCAAGGAACTGATTAGATCCTCTGAAACCCACTTATCCCATTTATCAGCTCTTACTACACGTTAATTCTCCCAAATGACTCAATCAGTCATTCTTGCTCCTGCTCTGAACTACTCAACACACTTTTGGACACCACAGCCCCACCCTCCAGCCACGCATGCTGTCCTGCTCGGTGCCCACAGTGACCACCTTGTGAATTGTGTATGTGCCTTACACAACAGGTCTTCAGGGAATAGGGATTGAAGGAATGCATAAATATTCACCAACTCCCCAGCCAGGCCCAAAGAGCAAAGCCAGAGTGATGGCTCCTGAAAAGAGGGGAGATCTTCCCCCCACAGGCAGATGGCCCCCCACTTGGCATCTTTGCACAAAACAGACAATCATTTGGAGGCATGTACATCCTCCAGGGGGACCCAGGCATTCAACGTGGGTGCTGGGCAACTACAACGGAGAGTTCTTAAAATCAAGCAGACCCTGGTCTATTGCACATTTCAAAATGGTGGCTGGACTCCCATCCATCTGGCAGGGTGACTTCTCCATGAGGCACGGCAAGTACAGTGCCTAGGGCCCGCAGATACTTTTTAGGAGCCCATGAAAATGTTTTAACATCTCTTAAAATTTGAAGAAAAATGAGTGTAACAAAATAACAAATACATAAAAATGAATCCAGCCTGGATTAAAGTTGTGTTTATAGCAACACAATCACAAAATGTCCTTTTTCGTAGCTGTACTGAGAAAGAGGCCCATAGAGTCAGAAATGTCTAGGGTCTATGAAAGTCCTACTAGAGCCCTGACAGCTTAATTTTTATAGCTTTTCCCAAACCTGGGTATTTTGATGAGCACTCTGACACAGCTATCTTGAAATAATTGCTTAGAGATGTTAGAATGCTTGCTTATTTATTTATTTATTTATTTACTTATTTATTTATTTATCTATCTATTTATCTATCTGCATCTGCCCTTGGCTTAGGTCATGATCCCAGGGTCCTGGGATCGAGTCCCACATCGGGCTCCTTGCTCAGCAGGGAGCCTGCTTCCCCCTCTGCCTGCCTCACCCCTGCTTGTGCTCTCGTGCTCTCTCTGACAAATAAATAAATAAAATCTTTAAAATAAATAAATAAATAACGAAGGCTGATAATAGCGAACAGTCACGGCGCTCTTAACTGTGTACTAAGCAGTGAACCCAGCACTGAACGCAGGTAAGGAAAGAACGAAATAGGTGAACTAGCTTGATTACACATTGCTGATTTTCACACTAAACTTCCAAAGAAATGGGTGCACCTTCTCACTTACGGTGTGACTTGCCTTCTGCAAATACACACACGTGTCAGCGCATCAAGGGCTTGGGAGAACAGGTCTTTCCGTGGTAGCCTTGATCGAAAATTCCAGCCTCCTCCCTCCCAACATGCTCACCATTCCTCAGGATCACGTCTGTGCTCTGGCTCAAGGGGCTCAATCCCTGGGGGCTCTTGACATTGCTCAGAGCTCTGGAGAAGTGTTCGTCCACTACGCTGCCGATGTCCCCTTGGAAATAGGTGAAGAGGACACACCGGGGATTCCACTCCGTCTTTATAGGTCTCTGCAGCTGGATATCAGTCTTCCCCATCTCTTCCATGGTGAGCAACACAGGTAGGGGACAGCTGCGGATCGAACACAAAATGTTACTGGCACTATTTTTTCCATGTGGCTTGGCTATAGTTTGGAGGAGAGGCATTTTGGGGGCTCCTGAATGGTGCCAGGAAGCTCAACCACCATGCACGCTGGTCTGAGGACCAGGTGAGGAGCCTCCTCTAATCGATGTTCTGGGAACAAGACAGAGCTCAACGAAGTGCTGAAGGGGCCCCCAGGAGCCACACAAGAGAATTATCTGGCAACTCACATAGTAGAAGATCAGCAGGAAGTTTAAAAAAGGCCACTGAGGACAAAAGAGCAACTTGCCTTCTGGGGAAGTGCCTTCCTCCTCCAAAAACAAATGAGCGAGAAGATTGACCCAAAACTGCATGTAGATGCTCCTGGACAAAGACCTGGGCCCCCCTGGAGAGCTTGACTAAGCAATCCAGTGGGTACCTCACTTTTCATAATAAACATTGCTCTCCATCTTGACCCCTTGCATGCGAGAGAGAATAAAACACATCAAATTCTCCTACTCTGCCGTTGTTGATCTACCTAGGATGCTGTCCCACACCCACCCCCCACCCCCCACTAGAATTGGGCAATTACAAAGGACGCCAGTCCTCAGGCCTCCAGACAGATATATTCTGAACCAAGTACAGATCTCAAAGACCAACATTCTCTACACTACTATATATGGCAATATTGGTGAAAAGTTCCTGAAAGATTGTCAGATTGTCAACCCTGTTCACTGCCATATCCTCCGCACCTAGAACAGTGCCTGAGACAGAGCCTATGCTCAATAGCTGTTTGCTGAGTTGCCTTAAACTTGGCTTCCATCATAGCATCCTAACCGCGAGCTCCTTCAGAGAGGGGGCTGTCCTCTTGCACCAAAGCCAGGACCAGGCATACAGTGGTCACTCAAGACATGCTGTGTGGCCTTCCTTTACTAGAAGTGCCCTGTCCAGATGCTACTTTACCTTTGGCTACCTGACCAGACTTGGCAGTGTGCTCTGGCTAAAGGCACCTTTATTCATTCTTGGGAATCTACTGCAACAGCTTAGAGTTTAATAGTCTCTGTTCCTCTCTAGTCCTTGAGGGTGGGGGCCATTTCTTATTCATTTCTTTATCCCTAGCACCTAGCATAAGTAGGTCAGTAAACAATGGCTGAATGCCTGAGTTCCATTTCATGCAGAGAAAGCACAATGCAAGGAAATCAGACCAATTAGGAGTCAGAGGACCTGGGGTTTTCCTCAGCTGTGTGATTTTGGGGGAAGCACATGGCCTCTCTGGGATTCAGATTCCTCTTGCGTAAAATTAAGAGGTTGGAGAATATGAATTCTGCAGCCTCTTCTTTCATGGTCCTGCTAGAAACGTCAGGAAGGAATCTGGCAGCGAGCAGGGGACCCTTCCTAAAAGGTCTCCTTTCAGACTCGTTCTGGCCGCAGCCATAACTGGGTCCTGCTGTCTACAGAAGCCTTCCACTGAGCACATCACTGTTTCCCCCGGTTGACAGCCATGCTAAGCATAACCAGGCACCACCTGAAAAACGAATCCATTGTATCCTTGTTCCAAAAGACATGCAAACAACCACTCTGTTGGGCAGGTTCTTATCAGGTGAAACACACGCTTACTCTGTGGCCCAGCAATCCCTACTTCTAGGCACAACCAAGAGAAACGAAAACGTACGTCCGCACAAAGACTCGTGCATGTGGTTCACAGCAACTTTATTTAAAATAGCCAAAAAGTGGAAACGAGCCAAATGCCCAGCATCGAGAGGAAGAATACACTAACTGTGACACTGTCATTCAGCAACAAAAAGGAACAAACTACCAATCTACACAGCAGCATGGATGATTCACAAAGACATTATTGTGGGTGGGAAAAAAAAGCCAGACACAAAAGACCACATATTATAGGATTCCACTTACACGGGACAGGCACAGATAACCTGTGGGGACAGAAATCAGAACAGTGGCTGGCTGTGGGCTGGAGATTGGGAAGGGGCGTGGGGAACCCCGGTGGTGTTGGAAATGTCCTGCACCTTGAGGAGGGTGAAGGTTATACGTGGATGGACACGTCTGCCAAAACTCATCAAATTGTACACTTAAGATCTGTGCATTTCGCTAAAGGTAAGTTATTCCTCGATTTTTAAAAAAAAGCACATGCTATATATTCAGATTCTCGGAGTTGTAGAAATAAATAAAGCAAAAGTATCCTTGAGCACATTATGAGGAGTCAGAGAAAGACAAGTACAGTTGGCCTTGAACACAGTCAAAAATCTGCATATAACTTGACTCCCCCAAAATTTAACCTACTAATAGCCTACTGTTGACCGGAAGTCTTCCCAACAACATAGTCAATTAACACATATTTTGTATATGTATGATATGCTGTATTCTTACAATAATGTAAGCTAGAGAAAAGAAATGCAAAGAAAATCCTAAGGAAGAGAAAATACATTTACAGCACCGCACTGTAAAAAATTCGCGTGAGTGGACCCGCGCAGTTCAAACCCACGGAGTTCGAGTCAACTGTACTTATAATATCAGTTAGGCGCAGAATTTTAAAAAGTCCAACTCCTAGAAACAGAGTAAAATGATGGTTACCAGGGGCTGGGGGGTGAGGGGACCGGGCCGGTGTTGTTCAGGGCACAAAGTTAGAAGCGGTAAATACGCCCTCGAGATCTAAGGCACAATATCATTAGCAGTCCTCCAACTTGAAGGAGACTAGGACTAAATTATTCCAGCTACTGAAAAGAAAGGATAATTGTGCGAGGTGATAGAGGTGCTAATTATCACCATAATGGCAATCATGTTACCATATATAAACATGTAACACCTTAAATTTACCCAGTCATCCGTCAAATCTATTTCCCAAACACAGCAAAAAAGAAAAAAGAAAGTGGAGGTGTTACAAATTATAAAGTCATGATAAATGTTGGAGCTAGCCCTTTTCCTAAGGCTTCGGTTTACAAAATACCGCCTCTGTGCCAGAAGCTCTGTGCATATTTTCTCTAGTCTTTGCAACTCTCAACAGAGGTCCTATGGTCCCCATTTTAGAGATGAGCAAATCGGGGCCCAGAAAGTGAAATGAACTGCCCATGCCACACAGCTAGGTGGGGGGCGAGTTGGGATTTGAACTCAGGGCTTCAATGTCTGTCCCTTCCCCACCGTCCCTTGCTGTCTACCCGGTGGGACTCACAGAACCCCTCTATGAACTTCAGTCTCCCCATTTATCAAATGTGAGGCCTTGACTTCTGATCTCTAGGGAGCCTTGAGCCGGGCCATAAGCCGGCCATCTGGTTTCCTTTAGGCAGCGCAGACAGAACATTTGTCCACTCCCTCCAGGCTTCTCCTGAGAGCCTCTACTTGCAAGAGCTGCTTAGCACCTTTGTAAGAGTCACGGCTTCAGCCCTGGAGATGCCAGCGGCCACTGCTCTAGGCTCAGGCTTGACACAGCTTGCAAATCTAGCTTTGCGGAGTCTCGCTGAAGCTATAAGGAAGGCAGCCGGCCAGACCCTCGGGACATCAGGGCCATGGAGCATGCTCCTAGTCTCCTCGGGTAAGGACCACAGAGCCCACAGGCCACTGGCCACAGCCAGGAAAGGTTCGAGAGGGAGAAAGTCAGAGGCCAGGTCTCATCCCCATCACCTTGGAGGGATCAGACCTTAGGCAAGCGGGATCCTGACTGGGGTACAAGTGCTACCTCTCCCCAAACACACGGACACACCTTTCAAAGGAGAACCATGGCTTACTTCTCTGGATCTAGCTCGCAAGCAATTCTCCGGGCTGCACTCAGACCTCAGCGGAGAGGACGTGCCTCTCGGGGATACTGAGATTCTGAGAACCGTTATTGGCTACAGCCTTTGCAGAGCTGCATCTCACTGCACCTCTGCAGAAACGTGGACAGTTCCCATCCCCAAGTGAGCCCTCTGCGAGGGGTCTCCTGATGCAGGCGTGAATTGGCTGAGGTCTGGCTTAGGAGAAGGGGCGCTGCAAAGCTGGAGCCCAGGGGACAGCCGTGAGGCGGAGGTGGGGGGGGGGGACTTTCCGGGAGAAGATGATCCCGTCCCAGTGCCTGGCTTGTAGTTAAAGCCTCTTGCAGACAAAACCCTAAGGTCAAGGTGTACCAGCTGTGCAGTTAGAATAGCAGAATTACAGAAGTACACTGCACCTTGCAACCTTTCCCCAATGCACAAACAATAAAAACACCTAGCGTTCCAATTCGACCTCAAAATGATGCCCAGACTTCTGCACAAATGTTCTAACACGGAATCCAATGCCCGCAGTTGGGCCTCAACTCTACCACAGTCTGCTTGTAAGGACACGGTTACCACCCTGCTGCAGAATGTTATCCAGCACCTCGGGAGAGGTTGTCACAGTGATCACTTGGAACGAAAGCCCCAAAAGGACCAGATTGTAGCGCGGTGAGCAAAGCATGTGATGCTCACCGCTCCCCCCTGCCCCGATTCCTGCCCAGTTGACTCTCCATCCCTCCTCGCCCCCCAGAAATCGCCAGCTTCTCCTACCTTAATTCCTGACCATCAACTGAGACAGCAAGATGCCAGAGCTGAGCAAAGGTGCGAAGTGATGGTCAGAGTTGCCTGGCCCACCTAGGAGCAGCTCAGTGCTTGCGGAAGCTGGGGCTGGGGATTTTGTACCCTCCCCTCGCTACGTTCTACCCCTCCAGCCCGGGCTATAAGAGGCATTTCCTGCTGGCTATCTATTAAGAATGCAGAAAATGCGCTCCAACAAGTCATTCGGGTTGGGCACCTGCAGGAATGAGGAAAATAGGTAGCTCTTTTTCATTTCTTTCTTTTTTGCATTAAAAAAAAAGCACTTAGTGATATTGTCTCTTAAAGTAGGCGGTCAGTTGTTTGCCGGAAACCACACACAGAGTCAATAATGTCTGAAACGTTGATGACACCTTCACTCTCAGGAACTGGGCAAGTCTGTTCGGCTCATCACAACTTTCTCCCTCTCTCGGCGTGGGAAGAGAAAG